CGCCCCCCTCTCGCGATGGCTCCGGCGGCGTTCGGCCACCGATCGCGAGCAGGTGGGAAGGCGTCCGACCGGCTATGCCGGACGCTTTTTGGGCCGTCCGCAATCACAGACTGGACGGCCCCGCCACGTCCGGAGGCGACGGCCGGAAGCGGCAACAGATTTAAAAAAAAAACTAAAAATAATTTACAACAAAATAAAATTACCTTGTTAGAGAAGAATGCTTTGCCGAGGCCATAAGATTTTTCCAATATTTTTTCGGAATTTTTTTGAAGCTCGAATGGCTCGCTCAAACTTAGGGAATTTAGAGAGATAGAGAGTTTAGAGTGATAGAGAGAAAAAGGGTTAAGGGCAAAATAGTAAAAGGGGGGGGAGCGGTGGCTAGTAATAGGGGGGCGATGAATAGCAATTGAGATTCATATAATAACTGTCGTTTCAATACTTAAGATTTTTTGTTTTCCATAACAAGATAGAGATTGATGTTTTAAGAAAAACTGAATAGTGAATATAAAAAGACGTATTGTATTTATTAGCTAAATCAGGAGAAAATTACAAATTTGATCCCATAACTTTAACTGTTTCCCACATTTGGTCCCAAACACGCCATTTATGATCCTTTTTAATTTTTCGTTTCCAACATGGTCCCACGTCCGCAGGGGCGGATCTATGTTGAAGATAGGGGGGGTCATTGTCCCCCCAAAAATTTTAAATTTTTAGTATTATATATACATATATACACATAGGAGTGCGCTCCGGTGAGAATAGTTCTCAATGAAAAAAATAAGAATGATTGGTATCCATCGGATCGGATGATCCAACAGTTAAAAAATAAACAATAATTTTACATTAAAAAAGGGTATATTTGACATTTCCTTCCCCCACCAACATCATACACCCACCCAGTATATCTCTCACCACGGACCCACCATATTTATATATCATCTGACCTTCCATCATCATCCATCTATAGTCCCGCAACCACCCGCCATCCCCGGTTGCCCTTCTTCAGGTACGTCCGCCGTCTCCGACGGCGCCGCCACCACCACTGTAATTCACTTTTCCATTAAATCAGCCGCCCCACCAGGCCCTCTTCCCGTATGCCCATATCGGCTACCTCCTCTCATTCCTCCGGCAAGCCGCCACCATCTCATCCTGCAATCTCCATGTCACCGTCATCACCTTCCACCCGACCATTGTCGGCTCCGAATCCAACCACCTGTCCGCCTTCCTCTCCGTCCATCCCGGCTAGCTGCACACTCGGGCCATCTCCGCTGTCCAAATCCCAACTTTAGCTTCTTCCTCAATCGCCTGGTCCAAATCCACGCCTTCCAAATCCCGCCGCCACCATCGTCTTATCTCACTTGCCCCGTCCAAATCCCGTCATCGTCGGCGCCTCCTCCAGATCCCGCCACCGGATTGATAGTCGCTGGGAGAACATCACACATGAATTACAAATTCCCAAAGCACAAGTTGTATCATTGGGTTAATTGGAGTATGTAGATTTTGATAATCCAATTTCACAATCAGAATTTCACGAAACTGATTCAGGATTATGTGCAATTATGTTTTTGGAGGAGAAAATTGATGGAATCAAATCTCAAAATTGTAGTTGCTCCTTCCATTTGATTTAAACTGTGGATGATGGACGGAAAATTGATGATTTTATTTTGATTTATGTGGATAAATTGGAGAGAAAATTGATGCGGTTCACAGGAAAAATTTGGAATTAGGGATTAATTGCGAGAATTAGATATATCATAAGGGCATAATTGCAATTTTAGAAGACTTATACATATTGTCATTTAGACCACTGCAATTTAAGAAAAGTGCAATTAAGAAAAAGAATTTGACAAAATTCATAATAAATCAAACCAGAAATTAAAGTGAAAATAAAAAATAATAACTCTATAAATTGCACAATAATGGTACATTATATGCACATTAGTCTATGTGGAATACACATTATTGTTGTAATAATTTTTACCGGAGTAGAATCACAAGATTCGAACAACGGGTCGTGTCTCACGAGGAAGGTTAGCCGGAATACTTAGCACGTTTATTCAAGCACAGATAAAAGAGATAAAACTACTAAACATTCTAATTCAGATGATTTGGTTTGATTATCAACTAGGTAAAACTTCAAATTAAGCAAATAGAAATAGCAAAGCAAAGACGATGAACAAGAAATATTAAAGAAGCTAGGGAGTCGGGGACATCCGTTTTGGCTCGAATTGCAACTATCGGGCCAGTGATCGTTCAGTTAAATGATTCGAATAATTCACTCGTTCAGAGATTTACCTCAATAACTCTTCGTAACAAGAGGACAGACGTGAACGGCGAATTAACGGGTCATTTAACACCTAGGCAATACCGTTACGAACAAGCCTAGTTTATACAAGCCTATTTCTATCGACTCCTCCCCTTTCGCTTCTAAAAGTCGATTGAATTGAACTAAAAGGCGTTTAACCAACTAGTCCGTTTAGCATTAACAACATCATGCAAGAACCAATCAAATTCAATCGAATCAATTGGAAATTGAAGTGTCACCCTTCAACAATTCTCAACTTTCAAGTATGATAATTGAAACACTATTTAAGAACAACTCGCACAAATTGAACGATCAATGAATCCCAACAATCACATACGAATCCAAAACATTAATCCCCTATCCCTAGCTTACGGATTTAGCTACTCATCATAGATTCAACATCAACATACACATCAATCCAAGCCATCATAATCATAGATAAAACAAAGAAAGAAAGCTTACGATTAAATATGAATCCAATGTCGAAAAGCAATGAACAATCCAAATCCTAAAGCTTACTCTTGGTGTTTTCACATTCCAAGATCAATTCCAAGTGAAAGATAAGAGAAAATTGAGTTCTGGGGTGAAAAAGTACGAGAGAATGATAAAACCTAGAAAGAACATCCCAAAAAACTGATCAAAAATCCGAAATAAAAATCTGCTCGTCGCGACTCCCGCGACCGCGACTTCCTCCTCTGCGGCCGTGGTGAAGAAATCTCGCGGCCGCGACCATCTTCGAGGCCGCGAGCTCGACTGGCCAGAAATGGGACGTTCTAAGGTGTTTTGGGACTCTCGCGGCCGCGAGATTTCTTCACCACGGCCGCGGTGAAGGATTTCCTGCACAAAAAAAAAAAAACGTTCTCGGGTTCGTTTGAGCTCGTTTCAACTCGGAATTCGATTCCGCTTTTTCCTGTGTGTTCCCAACGAACTTCTCTATTTGATTAGGCTTGCCCAGCTAATATTTTTCCGAACTCCTGTTCTCCCGAGACTTCCGACCTAAACACCATAAGCAAACAAAAACCGAAAAAATACACGGAAAACACACGAAAGACTCAAATAGAGCGAACCATGAAATAAACTACAAAACGAACTAAAAACCAACCAAAAGACCTAATATGGGGGAAAAAGAAAGACAAAAAGACAACGAGAAACGCAACAAAAATGGGACAAACAATTATCATAATATTGTGCGCAACAAATACGAGAACAAATCAGAATACGTTGTTACATATTGTGTACTTTCTAAATGAATTAACGTGAGATTTTTTTGTCGTTCTTCAGTCCGACATTGTCCACCATCGACGACCGATTTTGTGACAAAAGTCTGATCGTTTCAGATTGCATAATAGCGGTTGAACCCGTTTCCAATATGGTTATACAAGTTGCACATTAATGACTGTCATACTGCACATCATCAATCGAATTGATTTTTATTTTTTTTAATTTGTATATTTCAACTCGATTATTTGTTTTTACTTTTAAAACTTCGGTTATTTACACCAAGAAATAATATAAATTACTAAATAACCATACAAACATATCAACGAATCGACAACAACCATTGAACAAAATTGTGTATATGTTGAACAACGTTTTCATAATATCAACGCTAACCAAATTTAATTAATACATTTTTCAAAGTTAATACTACATATATTATTATAATATAAATAATATTTTTTTTCATATATTTTAGTTAATCCAGATAAACAACCAAATGACCAATTAATTCGGTTCAATTTTAATTTGGTTTCAGATAAAAAGTTTAACCATGTCAGACTGCACAATAACGACCGAAACTATGCACAATACAGTTAGCCGAGTTGCACATTAAAAAAAAGTTCAATTTTTTTTCAATATTTCGAGTCGCTCATAGTTGTTTTAAAAAGATTGATCGATGTACAATATTATTTCATTCCGTAATTTATTTGAACGTTTAATGTGCATATATACTCACTGTATTGTGCACTATAATTAGCAATGTTTGCCGGCAGTGAATATATACGGCCGGCACCTCGGTTATATGAGATGACCGCGACTCTGCGCGGCGGGGAATAATACGGCCGGATCTCTCCAAGGATGACCGGATCTATGCCGACGCGCTGGAGGCTGTGTCTGTATTCGGAGATTGTGTGCTTAGGGGATGGTAACGGTGGATGGGCTGCCGGCGGCGGAGCAGGTTGCTGATGGTGGCTCCGCTGTGTAGGCGGCGTAGCAGGTTCTTGATGGTGGCTCGGTTTGTGACGGCGGCGGGCAGTGGCGGCGATGTCAACGTAGTAGACTGAGCCAGTGACGGCGACAGTTTTGCCGGCGGCGTAGCAGGTGACCGATGACAGCTCTGCTAGTGACCTTGTGCAGAGTTCAACTGGCGGAGGTGTGGGTTCATCAGCGGCGGCCACTTCTATGAGACGAGATGCAAAGACGGCGTCGGAGATGGAGGCAACGGCAGTGACGGGCGGCGTCAGGCAGCGGCGGTAGTGTGGTTGTGTGTGTGTATGTGTGTGTGTTTTGGGGGAATGACGGGATTTGGTGAGGAAGGTGAAGGGGTGGGTCATGGGTGTGGGGAGTGCTTTTTTGAATTTATAAAATTATCCTCAAACTTGTACAATTAACCACATCATTCATCTCTAATTACGAGAATGCCATTGGTATTTGACCAGGAATTTGAAATTGATAGCTACATCTGAGCCGTTAGAATAGTAGATCAAGTGGTTTATATGAATTCTTATTTCTTTTAGTATGACTCATTCTCATTTGAGCGCATCATTTGAGCGCATCTATATATATATATATATATATATATATATATATATATATATAGAGAGAGAGAGAGACAGAGAGAGAGAGAGAGTAGGATCATATGAAAATGATAGATAGTGAAAGAAATAAGAATAAATCGGTACCATTGGATCCAACATATCAATGGCGGTGATGAAGTCAATTTTATTAAATAATGGTCAATCAGTCCATGGCAGCATTGTAAATAAGTGTGCATGTTTTGGTCAAATATACAAATTTGTCCACTTAATAAGGGTATTCTGGTTATTGCACATTTATCCACTATCTAGGTGGGCCCCACCAATCATAATTAAATTCACACCTCTCTCACACACAGAAACACACAATACTCACGCACGCACGACATACACATAGTCTCACTTTCAGAACCGCCGGCAACCACCTTCCTTCTGCCGGTGATGTCGCCGGACACCATCTTCATTGCGCTCATATCATCGCCGCTTTCAGCCGGTTGGTGTCGACGGCCACCGGGCACAGCTTGCAAGCGGCCAAATCCGGCACCGACCAACACAAAAGCCACCGACCCGGTGACCGCCACCGACCCGGTGACCGCCACCGACCCGGTGACCGCCACCGCCGTCCGCCACAACCGCCACCGTCAATCTGACTTTGCCGTCGACAGAATGCCGGCGCCCACGCGTAGCTCGACCTCTCATCCGCCACCGTCAATGCACATAAACCCTAACCCCCAAATTCACTCAGTTGTTAATTCAACAATAGATCAGAGATGTAATGATGATTCAGACCGCCGCCGTATGGCTATGTGGCGTGACAGAGCAGCCGCGGCAGAGATGATGTGAAACGCAGCAGGAGAGTGAGAATTGAGTGAATGGATTTGAAGGCTGCTTGTTGAGAATTTATTACATTTCAGGGCTTGTTTGCAATTTTATAAGTTTAAAACATTACAATTTCAGTCCTTGGTCAAATTTGCAATAAACGAAAATATAATTAGTATTTTAATACACTTGTATTTTATTTGTTCAAAAGAAAATGAGACTTTTGTATAAAAATATAAAAAATAATAATATTTTTTTTATATAGATTTGACGTTCGGTAAATTTGATTATATAAATAAAAAACGACACCAAAATACCCGTATTTTTTGAAATAAAAAGAAAATAATCAAACTGGAATATATTGAACAAAAAAATTTAGTTCGTTCGATATTGTGCAATCTGATAGGCAATAATGTTCAACTCATATAACTTTAATGTGCAATCGTATTATATAAAAAATATAAATAAAAAAATAATACTGTTTTTTCATATAGTTCGGTCGGTTCAAATATTTCCTTTATTTTAAAAAATAAAGTCAATATCGAACTGAAATAACAATGATTTTAAAAGTAAAATCCGGCAATCGAACCAAAATATTAGATTTTGAATCAGAAATT